CAACTTAATTTTATTCAAACAAAATATGAAGTAAAATGTTTTAAATAAGCTTCTAAACGAGGAATGCAATCTCACATTAGCATTAATGTGTTACATTTCGCAACCGTTATAATTAATAAGGGAGAACATTAGAAAACTACTATTAAAAATTATGTATGCACAACAATGAAAAGTATTGGAATCGTGTCTTGACCTTCAGAGTTTTTTTGAAAATCTCCGCGTTTTGTGACCTCCTGACCCAAAACAGTCGAAAAAAAAAAACGGAAAAAAGTTCTATAGATGTGTGTGTGGGCGTGGATGTTTTGGCGTTAATTTCGTTTAATTTCTCAGAATGGAGTGATGATTAAAAAAACGAAATTTGGCAAGATAGCTTGTATATAAGGAGCATTGAGACGATTAATTTTTGATGGTTAAAGGTCAAGGAGTGAGGAGGGTCGGGATCATGTGTCACATCTCGAGAAGGATCGAACTTAATAAAGATTTTACTCGTTATTAGATTTACAATTTTTTAATAAAACTCATCTTTACTCTCAAAGTTAAGCATTTTACTATTTTATAATAATTATTAATATAAAATGTTTTTATGGTAAAATCTCATAACAGATGTCGGCACACATAATTTATTAATGACACCGGACTGTTTTGTTCCTGCCTCTCAATGTTATTACTATTGATTTTTCCGAAGAATGGTCACAAATTGAAGGTTTAACTCTTTATAGATAGTAACAAGTTTCTTCCTTCGAGTAGTTTCATTAAAAATTTTCAAGTCGCAAGTCGAGTCACTGTATTAGTGCATTCAACTTGAGTCTCAAGCTAAGTAATCTTGGTAATTTTTTATTTCTTCTGTACAAAATCTCTTGTCTACAAAGTGAATTTTCAAAACCATCAAAATGATCTCTTTTCGGTAGAAATATATGTATATATATAATACTTTTTAAATTCATTGAAGTCAGAAATGATGTATCTTTCCTGAAGAGGATAAAATGCGTCTCTTGCGTTGAAGGAAAGAGAAAATACAACAAACTACTGTATTATTACGTAAATTGCACGTAGTAATCTACAAAATATCGTACGAATATTGATTAAATGTAAGCAAAAAATACGGAAAAACTTGCTTCTTTTCTCCATTAAAGATGCATCATTACTCAGTAACCAACGATAAGATAGCACATGAGTGATCTTTGCGTAATATACATGTTAAAATGCGTTTATTCGGATCGTTTGCGATGTTTGTGGGATTAATGAAACATTATTTACGACCTTATCTCATAGGTTAATTAAAAGATCTTATCAGAGGTGGGTAAACTGGGCGGCCGCCCGGGCCCACGAGCCCGCAAGGGCTCTCAAGATTCTTGATATTTCTATAATAAAATAGTACACTATAAAATTATAAAATAATAACCGTATATTTTTGAAACCGGTCCTGGCACTAAAATATGGATACCATAAAATTAAAGAAGCACTGGTTGATTTTAGTGTATCAACACACAAAAAGAAATTACCTGTATTTGAAGCAAGGTCTTTACTAAAAGTTATGAATAAATAATAGATTGTTTCGATGATAATTATTTGGAACACGATTATGCAGAGAATAAACGCTACCAATCAGGGACGGATCTACATAGGGACTAATGTGGCTTAAGCCCTGGGTACCCAACTGTCAAGAGCCCACAAAAATTGATTATTATCATGAATTTTTAATACTTTTTTTATTAATGAGTACTTATCGTATAGTAAAAACTAGTTAATAACAATAATAATTTATAATATTATTTGTTTATTGTAATAATTCTTAATCTAACAAAAAATATGGCCCATTGGACTTCAATAAGCCCTAGGCCCCGAAAAACTTAGACCCGCCCCTGCTACCAGTAAATCCTTGCAATCAGCAGATGCACCGTGCTTAAAGTGTATCTTTATTGAATTCGCTTGAAACTTTTATAAAACAATTCAGAAATAAATTCGAAATCATTGCAAAAGAGGCCGTAAAAATATACAAGTAGTAAATTTGAAGAAAGAAGAACGAAGAAGCGAAAAATTACCTTTGAGAAAAGGAGCGATCATGTTAATTTCTTTTCTGTAAAAGAAGATTTTGTGTGCAATGCCTTCTATACAATTTGTGATCACCTAATAATAGATTTTGACTGCAGAAAAGAAATATATGAAGATATTTTGCAAAATTTCAAAATATTCTTCTACATTTTGAAAAATTTGCAAGTCTCGAAAAAAGCATATTTAAACTCGAATTTTTACGTATGAAAAGAATGTTTAAAGAAAATTAAAATAATGTATTTATAAAATACTGTAATATAAACGAAATAAACTTATTGTCTTGAAATCTAATGTAATGTACCGTAATTAAAACTAGTAATTGTGATCTAAATGTAATGATAATAAAAACATAAATTAAATCATTATTGCCATTATCGTTTTTTATTAAGGGTTTTAATTTAATAAGTAATTAATAAATGATTCCTTTAAATGAAAATCACTATGTATATTGAGAAAGTTATCAAATTAATTAGTTTAACAAAATTGGGGTTCTTTCAAATTTTATCGTCCAGAGGCCACTAGTAAGGTATGCCTTATCTTCATAGCAGTGTCATATTTACATGGATAAGAATAAATCATGTTTGTAAGTACTGTATTGAGTAATTTTGTGCAATATTAATGATTCCTATTGTTTTCAAGTCAAGCTCGTTAGCTTATTTTCTATCATTAGAAAGCATTTCAATATTAAATTTAAGATTTTGTTTGATTGTATTACGAAATATGGTGATTTCGACTGTTTCGTAATATTCAACAGAATAATTGACTAAATTTACTTTTTCAAAAACAAGACACTTGAATACTTCGCTAGTCATCAGAGATGTTGCGCCATGCGACACGAAGATGAATGTCGCGCTTACCTAACGAATTTTGTAAATGAAATAAGATTAATAATTTTTTATTAATTCGGCTAAATTTTGTTTAATAATAGGTAGTTTTATGTAAGTTCTAATTTTCACGCTTTTCTCAATTTTCCCCGTGTGATAGTGATACCCCGGGCCACGCCAGTGGCCTAATGATTAAACCACTGAACACTGTTAGTTGGTCGTGGGTTGGCGCCTCGCCAACGGGATGCCATTTAGAGTTTTCCGGCTTTTTCATGTTAGTAATATCTAAATAGAGGCCAGTTTTCAATAAAAGACCTCGCGGGAGGCTTTTCTCTTCGACAAATTGCCCTGTATCCGTTGCCATATACGAGTAAATCCGAAATCGATACCCTCGGGAATACTTTTTATTGGTTCCTGTTCAGACATTAGACACGGGAAGAGAAACCGGTAAACTACACGTGAACAACACATCTATTAGGTACAAACGAGAGACCAGAGTTCAGTAGTTTCATTGATATGAAGTTATTTTATCAGATATAAACGATATCAAAAATATAGTTCTGCCACATTTCCTCCCCACGCTATACAGGAGCGGATCCAGAAAGAAATGATAGAAGAGGCATTATATTATATAATAATTACCTTGCTACCTTATACTTATCTCATTTTAGAAAAGTTCATGTCTCTATATCAGCGCTGTCCAACTTATCATAGCCCGCAGGCCATATTTTCTTCACCAAACATTTCGGGAGCCAAGAAGGTTGCTGCTGTATTCAGCCAGGTTAAGTGACGTTACGCAAACTAAATAGTACCTACTTTAAATTCAAATTAGATTTAAATTTTCACATAGTAAAATAATTTTAATATTAATAATAATAATTTAGTATCATAAATTTATTCATAGTAAAATGTACTCGCGGGCCGTATACGGCCCGCGGGCCGCCAGTTGGACAGCGCTGCTCNATGGTATGAATGATGAATGTAGACTTATTGTGTTGTATTATCGTGTAACCGTGAACGAATCAAGAAAAAAATGGCGGGATTAATCAACGAGAACGAACGTTTTTTTATTGACCTGCGCACATCCGACTTGGATTTCTACACACAAAAAAAACACAGGTGTCGCTTGACTTAAGCGCAGCTTATAATAATAAATATGATTAATCTTAACATATTGTGATGAGCGTTGATAGCGGTTAGAACCGCTTTACAGTCCGTGCACACGGTAATGTGGCATGTTGTACTGTACGTAACTCGGGGTGAAGAGTATAGAGTGGGCTTTTATGTTGTGATTGTAGTCGATAAACGCTGCCGTGAAGGTAGTGTCGTTTTTCGAGCCGTCGGTGGCCGGGAAAGTAGAAACATCTTGCGCCGTTGTTCATTTATGATAGCTGGATTGAATACGAGGGTTTGGTAGGGAGGTGTCCTGGAACGGGGGGTCATTGATATGAATGTCTATAGTGGTGACGCCAGGAGAAATGGAGTTTTGGGTTGTGTGATTATCGGTAGGAATACTGTGAGTGTGTGTCCAGTTCTGGACGTAATAGGCTATAGGAATCTTCACAAGGGTGGCACCTTCATTGCTGTGGATGAGTTGTATAATTTTCCGAGGTGGAGTGGGCAAGCAAGAGTTCAGTGGGAGCCGAAATGTAGGTTTTGCAAAATGCATGGATGCCGCAGTTCTGTACTTTTTTATTCTGTACCGCGATTTTATTATATAATATAAACATAATATAAAACAAATATTGAATTTTTTAATAAACATATTTTCACAAAATGAAAGAAATAAAATTGTAAAAATAATAATAAAAAGCGGAAATTAACACTTTAAGCAAGAGCCGCATGTAACTCAAAAAGAGCCGCATTTGCCCATGGTGGGTATATAGACTATATGTAATTATATACATATATACTTTGTGTACGTTTAAGTATAGTACAGAATAAAAATAATACTATGGTTGTGAGAGATATACATAGTGAGACCGTACTTCTGATAGTTGAATATCACTTAGCCTATTGCTAATTTTAACATATCTTCGTGTCATTGACATCTGTTAGATTTCATGTTGATTATTGAGATCTAATAACTGTCAGATTTTGCCAAAATATGATAAAGGTTTGGTTTGATTTATTTGTTTACAGCAAGTGCAAGAAGTACGCGATCTACCGAAGTGTGATGCTTCCCGGAAGAACTTGGGAAAACTGGCCCCTATTTAGGTGTTAGAGAGGTGAAGAAAGTTCGGAAAATTTCACGTGTCAGCCCGTTGATGAGGCGCGAACAGTTCTGTAGTTTTATCCATTGAACATACACTAGAAAGTGTCTATTTAAATTATCTCTAATTTTATTAAATAGATTGATTTTAAAGAGCAAATTAACTTTAAACTAAATGGTTCGCATTTCAAACAAATAATTATACAGTGTCTTAAACACTGAACGAATATAGTGTTTACAAATACCTCTAATAACACCAAAACTTTGTAGATATAAAATAGGGAATAAACATAGCTTTTGACATAAAATGTTACATTTAAGATTATGATTAAAAGTGCATATTTAGGTAAAGCAAAGACATTTTAGATAGTCTTATGCAATCCACTTTTACTTGCAAATTCAAATGAAAACTTCCCATTACAATCCAATAATTAAAATCACTTCCCATGACGATGCTAAATACTGTACTCTCTTCACCCATAAAATTTTACTGAATAACTCGAAGTAACGCTTCTTGGTGACGAAAACTTATTTATTTTTACTATTTCTTCCGATGAAATTATCCATGATACATTCACTTTTCAAAAGGTCGTGTATTGTTAAACCCACACTTACAGGGAAAAGACTGAAATTTAAAAAATATATTAAGTTAAATGGATTTTATAAGCATTTTAATTTGTAAATATGAATATAGACTTACTTTTTAAATAGGAAAAGCCAAGAAAGTGAAGTTGGCAAGATTAACATGTTTTTGTTGCATCTAACTGCCGAAACGATTTCATCAGCAACATAATCAGGTTCTAATAGGCCGATAACTCTATAACAGATTACTTATTCTAAATCATTAAATATGTTATAAAAGTAAAGGAACATATATACGGATTCAAATTTACCCTGTATTAACTCCAGTAAACATCCCTGTATTGATGAAGAAAGGGCATATCAGTGTCAACTTAATACCATTCAAGTTCTGTTTTCTTAATTCGCAACATAAGCCTTCGTGAAGACCTACAACAGCAAATTTACTAGAAGAATAATCGACGAGTTTTGCACATCCGGATATACCAGCCATACTAGAAATAGTAACGACGTGTCCATAATTTGCAGCCATCATATCGGGAAGGAAAGCTTTCAACATCTGAAAATACCATAAATTTTCTTGTTATTATCGTTATTCGTTTAAACCTATACATGGTGCTTTGAAGTAATGTTAACTCCTTCGGATCTAACCTATGATGTTTCATCAATTTTTTGAAGAAATAATTATTTTAAAAAATTGGCATTTAAAAGAATATAAAGAAAACCGCACCATGATATAATACATATCTATTACTTATAGTCTTTAAGAGGTAATTATCAATATATTGAACTTGTTTATTTATTAAGTACGTCAGATAATTTGTTAAAAATACATTTAAAGAAGTGTACGGTTTTTACTGGCTTATTGAACAAACGAATACGAATGGACTCTAGACCCTGACGAACATTTAACTGATTGCCCCTGAAAGTCGGCTTCTTACACAAACACGGTTTCCCTATAATCAAATGTCACGGCACTCCATTGGTTCTTTGCAAACTAGCCTCGAACTCGGCAATACCTCTGTATATTTTACTTTATATGATTATTTTATATTGACTTAGTACTCTTTTCGGTATATTACTTTATTTTTTATCGTAAATATTTAATTAATATAAAGATTCTTTTATAAAAATATGCAGAGAAGAAGTAGATTATATACAAAATAATGAACAGAACCTTTCGTTACTCTTCTTTACATCATAACAATGTGAAGAAAAATTATTTTTAATTAATATAAATTTCTGAAAAAATTTTCTTCGCTTTAGTTTAGAATGCCACCACTGAGAGTGAATAAAACCTCTGAACAGTTGATAACGTGCTTCCTCCTGACCAATGGGTTTTCTTCCATACAGTTTCTCAGGTTTTCTTTACACGTATAATCACCTAAATAAGCGCCAGTTTCTCATAACAAGTCCTCCCAGGAAGCACCTTCTTCCATCAATCCACTCGTCTAGAATACTCGTCTTTGACTTCATACTCGAAAAACTTACTACGGAAAAACTGGTCCCTGCTTATGTGTTAAACAAGTGAAGGAAATCCGAAAAACTGCATGTGACCAATCTGCGAATTCGTGACCTCTCCAGTGCACAGAGATTTTATCCCCACCTGTTTTTATTGTTATAAATATCACAATTATCTTACATAATAATATAATTAATGAGAAATATAAATCTGTATAGTATATGAAATTATAAATTTAATATAATGAGCTCAGTCTTGCGTGTTGGACAATAAAATAGAAGCTAAATTTTTCCTTGATTACTGTCATAATTTAGATTTAATGTTATATAATTTTAACTTATAGAATTTTCTAAATGTTCGAAGTATAAATTTAAGCATAAAGTCAAAATAAAAAGTCTTAATTATTTATTAATTAATTATGTTTAAATATTTACCTTAAGATAATTATGTTAAATTATTAATTTTATGCGTAAATTTTATTTTTGTTTTTTTTATATCTTAATTATAGGAGGATTGTAGGATTAATTGTTTAAGGCAAATGCAATATATAGACAATGTAACGAGGGTGTACTTCCCTAGAGGACTTCCTATGGGAAACTTATCTTCTATTTATGTTAGACACGTGGAGAAAACTCGGAATACACGCGGCCAACCCCTGAACTTGTCACCAACTACCAGCGTTCAATTTTATCCACGGTGAGTCCATTAATTATGATTAAGAATTTACAGATGTTAATTCCATTTTATTCAGTTATAACCCCCATAAGCTTTGTTGACATATTAGTAGCCTACCGCCTCCAAAAACACATCTTTACATCCATCTTCGACAGGTTCCGACTTATAATAAAATCTTACATAGCAAATCATTCCGTTTCGAAGTTGTTTCTTTTTCTATTTAAGCGAGTTTTTCAGATTTTAATATATTACAATTTTTTTAAGTATTACTTTTCATCCACTACAATGCCATGGTTGATATTGAGTATAATTCAATGAAGTAACGCAAATAAATGAATTAAAATTTTTATTTTTTATTTTTTCCTCATTCCACGAAAAAAAAGCATGAATCTATAGACGAATATAGAAAGCAGAGGAATTCGTATATCATTTTCATTTTTCTGTCTTCCATATAACAGAGAAAACGTATGGCGGTCGGCCGAAAAGTGACCCCAGTTCCAGATTTTTACATTTTTGGAATCGGGGACCTTGAAATATCGATAAATGCGAAAATTTGAGTTATTTTTCTGTGTGTGTGTGAGGGGGAACGATTTTGTTCAACCACTTTATAGCTTAATAACTCCTGTGCTTTTTTGTCGAAAATTTCTGAATTTTGCAGTAAAGTTTGTGTAGGCCTATTAGAGAAAATGATTCTATTAAATTTTGATAGTTAAAGGTCGAGCGAGTAGGGAGATAATGTGCCATATCTCGAGTGGGGTCGGACTTAAAGATTTACTCGTTATCATTTACAATTTTTATAAAACTCATCTCTAATTTCAAAATTAAGCCTTTTGCCTTTTTATAATAATTAATTATTTATATATAAAAAGTTTTTAATAAAATATCTTAATAGATGGCACCATACGCAATTTTAAATGTTGCCAGGAAAGTTGCTGGATTTTTCTATATTGTAAATGTTTGTTTTTAATGGAGTGTCTATTTGTCTATTTCAAACAATGCCATATAGGGTACATTCATATTATAGCAGTACCAATAATATCAATTGCACAAATTCTACAGATGCCAACAGAAAATTAAAACAAGATAAGTTTCTCACAAATTCAAAGGAAATTATAAATTTGCTTATATTCCTATGCTTCAAAGGTAACAAAATAATTACTTCCTAAAAAATAAAGTTGTAATATAAACTGAATAAACAGTAGGCCTTAAATCATTCTTTTTAATCTTTACGTAGTAACACGTTATCCTATGGGAGCAAAAAAGAAAATTGACTGAGGCCCTCATCAACAAGAGGCCCAAACCAATCATTCATAAGAAAAAAGTTTCCTTCAAAAAACTCCACCCGAAGCAAAATGTCTGAAGTCAACAATGTACTGTACTTGGGACTCTTAATTCATATTCACCTGGGCCCCATAAAGTATTCGCTTGTGCCAACGATAGATCTGACGTCTAGCGGTATTAACGCGAACTACGTAATGGCGGCTGCTAAGGGTATAAAGTCTGACTGCAGTAAAGTCTGTGGTCTGTTAGAATTAGAAAGTGTTCAAGCTACAATGGTAAATAATAAGTATTGCTGTGAATTTAGATGCAAATCTAAAGGTTCATCAAACTCAGTACATATGCGCACATTCGCAAAAAAATTACATCGAAAAAAGTGGGAAATAAAACTGAAGTTATCACTTTAGTTTCACCAACACCTAATTTTGCTGTGCTTAAAATTCTTTTATTTTTACAAACGTTTTTAACCTATCTAATATAGATAGGTGAAACTGAAGTGAATTAGTTGCTAAGAGGTGGATAGATATGAAGTTATCAGTTTTAATTATAATATTAGCCTTATTCTTAAACCTATGAAAGTTAGCCTATTTTCATATAATCACCCACGCCCTCTTCAAGGCCCTAATATTTCTTTGCGCAGGATTTGCCATCCACAACATAAAAATTAACCAAGATATACGAAAAATATCCCTTCTTTAGCATTTCCTCTCCTTATAAGGCCTCTTTTCCGGTCACCCACATATTCTAAAATGTCATAAGGTGTAATCATCATGACTTAAACAACTTCGAAATCAACTAGGATTAATGTCGGACACAAATGCGAATAAAACGTTTTGACTACAGAGAGAAAATACATTAAAAAGACAACACACGTGTAACTCTCGTATGTTGCCACGACGCTATACCCTTTGTGGCAGCCATTTTGGTCGACTCATACGCCACCTATATTTACTGGCACAAGCGAATAATGCCCACTGTCTTTACCTTCAGAAAACCGAATACACTTTGTAAAACTCTGCTTATGCACAGTAAAACCTGTGTAAACAGGAATCTCATGATACCGAATTATTTTTCCCCCATTTTTTCAGCTTTCTGGTTTGTTCAAGTTTGTTGTAGACGGGTATTAAGGTATTAAGTACGTGTATAACATATTATTCGAAAATTACTGACCTAGGAAATTTGACAATAGAGAGGTTGCGGCCGACGTTTTCATCGCGAAAACGTGAACGTCGGCCGCAACTTCTCTATTATCTGAAATACAATCGGACTTCGAACTCACATTTGAGTTATAAATAAACACTTGGCTTTATTTCCATCATTTTAGTTGATGGTATTAATCCGATGGGCTGGACACATTGGACACAACATGAAATACAATCGTTTCTTTAACAAATTAAATTACAGGAAGATATAAATTAAATGACAATAATTATATTTTGTTGTGTTTTTAAAATATATTAAGGAAAAGTGTTTTCTATTGTCCTTGTTACAAATGAAAATAATAGAAAGGAAATGTCACACCATTTAGATGTGCTCGTTTAATTATCATTACTCTCATTATGTATTTATCATCTTTAATTGTTATACTGTACTAAAACGATAAATTACTTAATAAACTAATTAAAATATGTAAAAGATTTTTATTTATTTATTTTAAAATTAATTTTATCATATTTATAAGAATTTTACTCATAATTTAAAAAAACAGACAATATCTCTCATCTTACTCAGAAGCGTATCTGCAAATTCTATAGAAAAAATTTTTTTAAGAATATTAAACGTTTATTGTACTTTTAAATGCCGAAAATTCAAATAATTATTGTATCAAAAGTATACACTATAAAGTACTTAACTGGACTGACGTAATAAGGCAATGCAACACGAGCGGTCTGTCGATGGATATTTTCCTGAGGACTTTTTATGAAAAACTATGCAATATTTGCAGGAAGTACAGTCGAACCTCCAATAACGAAACGTTCGTTTTGTTTTTTTCTTTCCGGGAACTTTCCTTAATTAAATTCCATCAGTGACCATAGTTCAAAAGTTTGAGGGCATTACTCCAAATTTTGAGGCTCACGGTCATTATTTTGAGAAAGTTATCCGCCTCAGTATGCAGAAAAATATTATAAATCTCTCTGGTGACGGCACAATTCAGGTCATTTATTAATTAATGAAGATAATCATACCTTTCTATCAAATTTTTGCAGTAATTTATTTTACCATACTCGTTTTATTAAATTTACTTTTATTTTGTTTAACACTTAGCAATATTAAGAATTAAAATCGTTCTAAACAAAAACTAAAATATACAGTAGGTCTGATTATTTCTTTGTAGACGACTCGCCGTACAACGGCCGATTCAATGACTCGTCGTAAAGCGAGCCGTTAAATAATGAGGGGCAAAGAGAGCAAAATGATTTTTATTTACGTATAGACTGGTGGACCATTAAAATGGTATATAATAAATCATTTAAAATTTCTATAAATGGCTATTAAAAAACTGAATAAAACTAAAAAATTACAAATATTAATCGTTCAAGAACACTACATCGCGTGCTATTGATCTAGTGGTTTAGTTAAGTATCAATACTTTGTCTATACAATGAAACCTGTGTAAATAGGACTCGTACGATACCGAATATTTCTTCCGATTTTACAGGTTTCCATTTTATTAAGGTTCCATTTTGGATAGTTTTCACCAGTGGCGTGCCGTGACATTTGATGATAGGGAAGCTGTGTTTCTGTAAGAAGCCGACATCCAGGGGCAATCAGTCAGTTGCTCGTCAGTGATGGTCTAGGGCAGGGGTGTCCAACCCGCGGCCCAAGGCAAGTTCCAATGTGACCCAATAAAGGTGTAAACAAAACCGACAAACTTTTTTATTTTATTTTATTTATTTATTTCAATGGCATAAATTCAAAAAAAAAAAGTTTCACAAAGCCGTAAACCTTTATACATATTTAATTTTTGAGTGGAAAGGAAATATTTTAAAATACTTGGAAATGTGTGAATGAGGAAGGAATACTAAATAAAGCTAAAGTTGAGACTCAAAGAATTATAGACCCAAATTCGGGGAAAGGAAAGTAATGCCAAAAGATAAAAAGTAGTGAGAAAGGTTACATAGACTTTCTGTTAAGCAAATATGGACCCTTAATTTCTCAACCTTCCTCGCTTCTTTATCTTTTGTCCTTTCTCTCCTTTCCCTGTATTTGAGTCTATAATCCTTTGAGTCCATCTCCGGCTTTATTTAGTATTCCTTCCAGTGTTGCATGATTTGGCTACTTTGCGCCAAAGTTGGCTACCCTTTTTTTAGTTTGGCGTAAAAAATATCATTTGGCGCATTGGCTACTTTTTGGGCTACATCTTATTTATAAATATATTAGTCGAATAAAAATGCACTTTAAAATAGTGTTTTGTCATTTTTTATTAAGTAGAGACTCAATAAAACAAATATTTATGTTTTTCAAATAAATTTTTGTTTGTCTCCTTTATAATAAATGAATTTATCTATTTCTAAGTAAAAATTGGAAGTGTCTGTAGAAGTAATTTTTTAAAATATCCTTTTTCGTGATAAAGAATTTAATACTTATTACTATAATCTAGACATTTTAATCCTTAAGTATACAAGTACATTTAAGGATTGAGCCACAAGTATATTATATATACTTGTGGCCCAAAACTCCATGACATCTTCCAATGTGGCCCAGAGAAACAAAAAAAGTTGGACATCCCTGGTCTAGGGTCCATTTGTATCGTTTATTTGATAAGCCAGTAAAAACCGAAGACTTCTCTAAATGCATTTTTAATATCACAATTACATTCCGAATCGCTAACCACGATATAAGGGCTACAATTAAAAATAAAATTTAAAAAACTTACTTGGTGAAATAAAATGTGTGGTGGATATACATACCTGGTACAAAACATTCTTCAATTGTATGAATATACTTTTAAAGAAAATTATAATTAAATATAGCTTTGTAAAGAAACGCACATAAAAATATAAATTATTCTTTACTTTTTAAATCTTAAAACAATGAACTTAGTCAAATAGCTCCCTACGAGTTGCTCATGGGTGGAATCGAAGACGGTTGCAGAGCGTGCATACACGCGGACTGCCAAATCCCCAGGTGCCGATACCGGTCAATGTCAAATACTGTACCTCTTTTGTCGCATCACTAATATATCTCAAAGGACGCGACAGGGTTGTTGTAAATTTTAAACGTTTCTCACCATAGCTGTAAAAATATGTTAAACTTAATAGTCATTTGTTTTCTAACTAATTCGTTTTAGGACCAGGTGTCCACGGAAATTTCCAAAATTTACAACTTTTCGGTCACTCTCATTGAATTGGAAAAATTTCTGTCTTTATTACATTAATAATACGAAGAAATCAGTCTCCACTGTATTCGGCTAGAGATGGTTCAGTTAAGCTTTTGTTTAAGTAAAATTTCGGCTCTCGTCAGGGTTTTGTTTACGCCCCCAATTCCCTAATCTCTTAATTATTTAACTACTTCTTAAGTAGAAATAAGTTGAAACCAGTTACTTTGTACTCGAATATTTGTAGTCTCGGGAAAAAAGTGGAAAAACAAACTTTTTATGACAAACGTATAGATAAATCGTAAATGAAAGGAAAATAAATTCTAGAGCTTTTTCTGTACCTCGCGCATCTCTCTCATTCATTAAATTTAGTTGTAAATAACGCTGTCAAAGTAACAGTTAATTTTTTAACTGTTGTTTAACTGTTTAATTGTACAAAAATTGTACCCGTTTTTTTCTACATCCCCTTAAAGATGGGATGTACGAAATCGTAATATCACTGGTTTAACATCGAAATCCGTGAGTAATATAAAATCGGAGAGCGGAATAAATATATCAAATATTTTAATGGATTTTTTAAACTCCTGTCAACTATACAGAACTATCGTAAAAACATACCAGTAAATTCTTATCGGTTGGGTTAAGTTATAAATCTACTCGTTATTCACGTAATCGAAATATCTAGTGGGCAGGCGGCTAACAGCCCAGAACCGGTCCTTGATAGAATTGGAATCTTTATATGTGTGCAGCTTTCACCCAAGGTCGTAGGCTTCCACCGGCTAAACCGGGTGAGGTTGGTGCTCTGTAAAGCGCATGCGCGAATCTGGCTTTTTGGATGCTGACAATACAGCACTTCCACTCCGCCACTAATATTCGAATATACGATAGCGATCTTTTTTTTCACGTGTAGTATAGAAATTTGTAATAAAGTACATAATGCTGTTATAATAAAATATTGTGCGATTATTTTCATATAATTAAAATTAATATGTATTTATTTTTTTAGAAAATACAAGGGAAGCGGCGCATCCACCACTTCCAATGACGGCACGCCACTGGGTTTCACAGTACTGTATATACTTAGCCTATATGTATGATGTCCTAAAAGTAACTGCTACTAAAACATCAAATATTGAAAAAATATGAAGTATACTTTCATTGTTTCAAATATTGTTCGTTAATTAAAATCAAATTCTTTACAGAAATTTATTTTTTTAGCAAAATAAACAAGCTTCTAATTGTATTATTATATATGTCCTTCTCGGTGTTCATAGCCATTTATATAAAGAATGTTCTCGCTTAACGGCGTTCAGTTTACGATTCTCGCAATTACGACTGTTTAAAATGACTTATTTTTAGTCACATTTATAGGCATTATATTGTTCAAGCAGTATTTTCGTGAAAATAAACTGAATTTATGAAATTAATGTGAGTAGGCCTATTGCGTGATGAGAAACAATTTTTCCGGGTATTTTTAGATATAACATGCAGATAATACAGTTACGTGTACAGAAATTTTAAAATAATGAGGTTTCAAAACACGCATTATTTTTCCGTAACGTAATTTATTAATGCTTAATATTAAGTAACCTACATAGAGTAATATAATACAATAGACCAAGGACAGACTGAACGGGTACATAATAAATATGTTATACAAGGTTGTACATAGGAACATTTTTTCAGTTTGACAGATTTACACATAACTTCCTCAATTAAGAAAAATTTTTGTGTGCAGTTTTAACAAAGCAAGGCCATTCAGTTGAGGTTTGTCTTTCCGACTTGGAATTTCTAAAATATCTTTTAAACTGCTTTGAGCTGGAAAATAATTAATACGCTGTCGCAATAATAGGATTTGGATTTTCATAAGTTTTCTTACTTCAGAAACGTCCAGTGCAGCTAGGTGGAAATTTGTTTTCTTGACATATCTAACACCTAAATAGAGTATATTTTCGTATAGAAAGTTGTTCCGGGAGGAATTTCCCATTTACCTGATCGCCAAGTAGCGTATTGGGTTAACTTTTTCAATCAACCCAATCTTTTTGTACTGCAATTGTCGATTTTTCTTGGCTACCTTCATTCACTGATGTTAAGTACAACCTCTAACTCAATGCCGAATGTGACTTTGTACGACGAATTAATATCTGAAGGGTTCTATTATTCATAAATTGCACAAAGCAAAAACAATTTTGATCAATTCGTGATGTGTTTGTCTTTCATCTATGAAACCGATATGTTTTCTATATCCTGATTGGCTCATTCTACTAATTGGATCATTCTACTTGGTTTCGACTGCGTCGTTTTAACTGTGGCTAAAAAGTAGGCAGTTCTATTACAGAATTGTCAAACTCTTTTCCATTGTCATAATAAAAATTACAAATGGAATCAAATGCCAAATTAATATCAGTTAACTGAAACGAAACCACTTCATTACGTTTGCTTTGGGTTAATTGGAATAGAATAAATTTGGTCAACCGGTTCTAGAAATTGTAATGAACTTGAAACCTTGGTCATTCCAATCTTACAGTGGTTGTTGGTTTCTGAGTTGAATTGTGAATTTACCATCAGTGACCGAATGGATAAAATCATCGAACAGTTGCAGTTTATCGCGGGTTAGCGTCTGAGCAAGGGTTGGCCACGTGGAATTTTCCAAGTATTCACGTGTGAACACCTAAACGGGGCCTAGTTTCACACAAACTCCCTCTTGGCAGATCGTCCATGCGTGCTTTGTCTTATCTCATGATCGCTTCTCTTTCTTACAAGATTGTCCTCTCATTGTATTTAATCAGTTATGGCGAATAAACGTAATAAACACTGTAATTATTAACTACGTAAAACTATAACTGGTTTTGTAAGAACTACTTTTTGCCTTGGGGCGGTAGCTTTGAATATATGATCTTTGAAGTTATTTTTTTACACTATACTCGATTTACTGCTATTTTCAAGACCCTAAATGGAGGTTTGCGTGGCTATAAACTGAGGAATTTTAAACAATACGAATTTGTATTCGTATATGTTTAATTAATTAAATTTGGACGTTTGGTAATCACGTGATTTGATGATAATGTAAACATTTGTAATTCATAGATTACAACCACAGATTAAACGGAGAACCAATTAGGATTGGTTCTCTGTTTAATATTTAGGAAGATCCGTTCATGAGTATTTATTGGCGCTTTACGAGTGTAGTGAAAAGATAATTTCGTTCATATACGTTTTTAATTAATTATGTTTCTTATGCTGCTTATACAACCTAATTGGTTTGTAGTAAACGACTCGATTTACGACGGCTTGTTATTGGAGTCATGTTAATAGACGAGTCGTAAAGCGAGCGGTTTTATTTCCTAAAATCTTAATAATATCGTGTATTGCGTAATTGTAATACACTCAAACCTCTTAACACGGCCACTGAAAGGAAACATTTTTTAAAATGGCCTCTATAAGTTATTTTGTATGCATTTATGTTGGACATTCCTAAATAACGTATGTTGGACAATTCCTGAATTAGGAGGTTGTTGTTATTGGAGGTTCGACTGTATTATAATAATAAAGGATATAATCACAAATTAATAATTTAATTTTAAATATATGAGGAATTCTGATGCTTGCATGATTTAATTTTGTCCTTATTTTAATTTTTATAAGAAAGGTTATTAGTACAATCGGTATATACTTTTTTCAAAACAGGTTTACAGAAGCATATCAGCGATTATCATCTCAGAACGTATACAAAAAATATCTAAAAGATATGGTTCAATTACACCATTTTTACGGTTCAAGAACCTTAATTATTAATTTAAAATATAATTTTAAATATTTTAGATAATTTTATATAAATCATTACTCTGGAACTATTTTAAAAATGTATTTATCTTATCATGCTTATTCATTGTTGATAAGAATGATAATTTATTCTGTAATGACAAGCTAAAATCTAGAATAAAATAGAAGAATTTAATTAGCTTTTGTGATTTTTTGCCTTTGACCTTACGTATTAAACATCATTTGAGATGTTTGTAACGTTTATCGCACGTTAATCTGACCTTTAGCCTTGTGAACGAATAGTGTTACACTACGTCATAGTGTAGTGTAAAATTTATCAGAGATATAAATATATTCTAGACTTAACTTACCCAAAAATGTGAAAGGGCATTTATCTGAAAAGTTTTTTCGATCATGTCATCGGGACAATCTAACAGTAAGTTTCCAGTCACGATTCCGGCATTGTTGATTAGAATAGTTACAGGACCCACCTGCTCCTTAACAGTTTTAGCCAATTCGTACACTTTTTCTCTGTTTGTTATGTCACAGACGTACGAGTGGCACTCTCCTCCAAAATTCTTCACTAAAGCTGAGGTTCCTAAATTACCTTTATCGTTTATGTCCCAAATAACAATTCGGCATCCCAAGAGTGAGAATCTGAGTGCAAGTAAACGGCCGATTCCACTTCCTCCGCCGGTGATCAAAACCACTTCTCCTTCTAAATTTTTATATAACAAACTCCTGGGTATTAACTTCATCACCAGAGCTTCTATACATAAATATATTATATAGGGTATAATCAGTAGACTTTTCAAAACTTGATCCATGTCGGATTGTGTTAGAGTCTAAAGGAGTAGCACTTATGCCGTCTCTCTCCCTTGACGATAGCGGTTAGTATGACGATAAGATATAAATTAGTATCACTGACCTTCGGATTTGTTCAAGCTTCCTCCGTTCGTTTTATGTTCCAGTCAATTTATTATCATACAATGGTAAATAATTTAACCTAATCTCTCAAGATTACATATATTATAGTTATAGTTTTAAAGGATGATCATAGTGCTAACAGTGACGTAGCATGGGTGTCAGCCGCCCGGGGCGAAGGAAAATTTCGCCGCCCCCTTATTTAGGTATCTCAATTTAAAAGACAAAAATTCAGTTTTGTCACATAATAAGTAATGAAAACTTCCGTGCTCATTTCAATCGGTCCAAATCGTAGATGCGACAAAAATATGAAATGAAATGGTTCAAATTTTTACAAGATATTATTATTATTTATTGTGAAATTTTGCCGCCCCCTAAAAGTGCCGCCCGGGACGGGCTGCCCCTGCCGCCACCACTACGCTACGCCACTGAGTGCTGAGAATTCTACCGCTCTGAGGGTCCGGAATCGTATCTGTGGGAACAATCTCAGAAATGTTTTGGGAATCTTCCCGGATAAATCGAGCTCTGTCCCATTGTGGGTTTGGCAAAACTTTCATGATTATGATTAAAAAGATCCTCTTAGTGCTGACAAAGTGGCCTGAATTAGAAACTCTATTGTTGCTAATTCAGACCACCCGTTTTCTAATGTTTGAATTCGTTTGTTCATATACGGCAACGCGACACGGGCAATATACCGAGGGAGATGCCTCCGAGAAGGACTTTTATGAGAAACTGGCCCTATTTAGATGTTACTAACGTGAAAAAAATCCAGAAAACTTCACCTGACGAACCCGTTTGCGAGGCGCGAACACACGAGCAGTGTTTAGCAGTTTTATCCACTGGGTCACTGATGGGCATTTCCTAGTGTTGTACAGGGTGGCTCTTTTTAAACAATTCACTGGAATTACTCGAAAAATACGCATCCTACAAAAAAAAAATCACTAAAGAGAAAACGTTTGACTTCAAGGGATCCACAGGATGAGGCTTCAGATTTCATCATAAATGGCGCTACAGTCCGTACAAACGGAGTCAACCTTATTTTCTTAAATGCTGGAACTGCTATATTTTATTGCATATTATCATTTTACATCAAAAACAAATAAACTTTTATGTAAAACATTTTTAGAAAGATGAACTTATCAGAAGTTATGAGTGTTTAAAGTAAAACCAAACCGCTACACTTATAAGGGTAAATCTGTGAATTTCACTGAGAAAAGAAAGAAGAATACTAAAAGAACTACTAAGAAACTATTATTATTTGGTGGATCAAGATCAAAGTTTTCTCTTTGTCACAAGCCATCATTGCTTTACATGACACTTTTGTGTTATTGTTTTATATGCCACTTTTGTATCAGTTTCTTATTTCAAAAAAAGGAGAAAATTTAAACAAATAATGATAATTTCCAAATGAATTTTTAGCATTTTTTTTCTTGGTTCATTGAAATTCGCTGATTCACCCGCGCAAATTAGAGGCTGCACAAAACTTCAAATGCTTATAACTTCTGATAAGTTCATCTTTTTAAAAAAAATGTTTTAAAATAAAAGTTTGTTTATTTTTGACGTAAAAACAATATCCAATAAAAAATGCGGGTTTCTATCAACGTAAATCTATGTAATATCAAAATATTACATAGAGTGGCTGTAGTGACGCCATGTTAAAAAAATTGAATACACTCCCACATTTTCCTTTTAGTCAAGGTCATACCAATTGTGTTGTGTAAAGGCAACTAATAGAATATTCTAACTCATGTAAAAATGTGCAAGTGCAAAGGAAAGGAAGAGTTTTAACCTTTGGCTGAGATGTTGCGAGTTAAAATGACCCTACTTAGTTTATTATTATTATTATTATTATTATTATTTTGAAGTAAATAACAACACATTTCTTACCTTAACCCTTTATTTCAGCGTTTCTAGACAGAACAAATATTCGATAGCAATAGGTTATATGCATTTGTAAACATTCTTAATTTTACTTTCCTGGCTGTTATGTATAAGGAAAAGCATTGGAATCGTGTCAAATTTGACCCTCGGAATTTTTGTAAATCTCCACCTAAACCCCAAAACGTCTAAAAAATAATAATAATAGAAAAAATATTCCGTGTATGTTATGCTGGCGTCTATAAGAAACGAAATTTGGCATGATAGCTTGTGTAAAGAGCATTGATGTTATTAAATTTTGGTGGTTAAAGGTTAAAGGGGAGAGGAGATAGAGTTGTCATAAATCAAGAGAGGTCGACTTAATGAATATGTTATTCGTTATTAACATTTACGATTTGTTTTTATAAAACTCACCACTATCCTCAAAATTAAGCTTTTTGCCATTCGATAATAATTAAAAATATAAAAAGTTATAAAAGTTTCTTCTTCCAATAATGAGACTTGTGATATTTATCACGTCTTTCTTAATTATCCGCAATTAACAGAGAACAAGATTAAAACAGTTCATTTTATTTCGCTTATTTAACAATGCATTTCGGATTGGTAATTTTCAAATTCCTCTTCAGCGTCTTAGGTTATTGTCTACAATATAACGAACAAAAGATTAGTTAATGTTTAATATACTTTTGTTATCCATAATGATGCGAATAGTGCACAATTTGTACACAGCCTAATGGTGCAGTTTCTATATATCAGTCTCTTTCACTTACTGGCATATTTTCCTTATTTTTGATGGGAAAATGCAACACTTCTTTCATTTCCCACAATTATTAGCTCCTTATTACCTCAGAAGGATTTTAACTTCAACACTGTGGTTCATAACATGAAAATGGTCAAAATATAATTTTTCATCGTAAATATTTTACCACTTTAAGCTCTGATCTTACCTTCTTTATAGTAATTAAATAAAATTGAGAAAATAGTTAAATTCGAGATGAAACGATCTAGATTTATATAACTTATCTAATCGCCTAAATCTCAAATCTAGGGGCAAACAAAACAATCTAGATTTAGATGAAAAAGTCAGATTCTAAAGTGACAATTCTGCTCATCACGTGATGCAAATTTCAATGTTTTCTTAAACAGGCGGCTATACACGATGGGTATAGCCGCCTGTTTACATCAAAGGAGTAACCATGCATGATTTTGAGTAATTCCTGGAAGTGTGTGGGGGAAAATTTAACAGTTTCGGCGAACTGTACCGACCACCTGAGTAGAATCGTCCATACTCGTTAGGTTAATTCTCAAAGGATTAACCATGCATGCCTGACCTTTATAATTCTTGGTAGTGTGTGGAGGGAAATTTAACAGTTTTGGCGAACTGTACCAACCACCAGAGTAGAATTGAAAAACCATATGATTTTCCTGGCGCAGTGTCAGACTGCGCAGGCCGACCTAAACGTGTGTGAGAACAAACATTGTTCACACTTCCAGGAATTACTCAAAATCAGGCATGCGTGGTTACTCCTTTGAGGATTAACCCATCGTGTATAGCCGCCTTTATAAGAACGCTTTTCCGTAAAAGACCTCCTGGGAGGCATTCCCCTCGGCAGATCGCTGCGTGATTGCGTTGTCATATATACTACACCAACAACGACCGTTTTTCGGAGACGATGAACATAAATGAAATACAAAATTATCTCCAAACAGCGGCCATTTTTCAATGTTTCTTTCAGTGGCCGTTGTTGTTAATTGTATCATATTAAGAATCGCGCAATACCTACATTATTGTAATGTGAGTAGTGAGTGATGTGAAATTTTTTCGAGATACTTTTAGATCGAAAATCTATGTTTAAATTTCATTTATAGGAAAATGCAGAACATACAATCCCGTGTACATGCAAACATTTATAGGAAAATACAGAATATGCGAGAAGTTTTAAAAGTACGGTTTCAAAACACACATTATTTTTCCAGAATGCTTAATTTACGTACATAGAGTAACATAATACAGTATACTAAAGACTAACTGAACGGGTACATAATAAAATATATTATACAAAATATACTATTGTATTAGCATAGTAACATTTTTCAGTTTGAATTGACAAATTCATTCACGACTTTCTCAATATAGACATTAATTTTCTGTGTGGATTCATTAGACATTCTTCTTTCCGACTCAGAATTTCTAAAAGATGTTTTAAGCTGATGTAGGATGGAGAACGATTAATCTGCTGTCGCAGCAACAGGCAAAATGGTTTTGGTTTTCACAAGTTTCTTTACACTTAAAAAAAAAAAAAAACGCTTTTCTTACTTCACAAACGCCAAATAGAAGATCGCCTTTTTTTCCAACCTGTGGCCGAGTGGATAAAACCATCGAACACTGTTTGGTAGTGGGTTCGCATCTCGCCAATATGGAGACTTCTGCGTTTTCTTCACATATCTAATGCCTAAATAGGGTCCAATTTTCCATAGAAAGTCTTCCCGAAAAGCAATTTCCCTTGTGCAGATCGCCAATTATTCAGTTTTTTTTTTTTTTTTCATTTTCTATCAATCCAATCCATACTTTTCACTAAAACCACCGATTTTTCATTTCTATATTCACTCACTGTTGTGAATTCGTCTTCATTAATGCATTGGAGGAAATACTTGTAAGTGTTGTATAGGTTCTGACAGCGTCTTTATTACCTGCCTTTGAAAGTAACAAACTACTAAGAATTGCAATGTCTCTTTTATTGTTAAATTTGACTTTTCTATTGTGCACTTTGTTTTCGTGTGGACGTGAGAAGTTGTTTGGCACCTTTCACTAGAATCTGAGTCTGAACTAATTTCAGTGACATCCGCAAGTCATGATTCGTTTTCATTTTCTCATTTACTCAAAATTTAAAAAAAGAAAAAAAATACTAACAATAATTGATGTACACACAAAAAAAGGAGAACCGTAGGAAGAGGGGGAAGTAAATTTTTCGAAGGGATTTTGACTACAACGGATAAATTATGCTTTTTTGTTTAAGTGAAGTGAAAATTTTTTCTTAGCTATTGTTACATTTGTATTTTTTTATTTTTTTTATTTTGCTGATTTTCAGATTTCTTTTTGTTCCTCTGTTGTTTGTTTTTTGTATATTTGTGGCACTTGAAAAAGGCCAAAC